AATTAAATCTCAGTAGTTTTATTAACAAGACGTGTTGGGTTGACCCAACAGATTTGATAGAATTATGAGAGCAGATGGACTTAACGATTTTTATTTTTCTCTACAGTCGGCTTGTAGTGAAATAAAATTTGTAGTTCCATCAAAATTAACAAATTTCGGCGAAATTTTGTCCCATAGTAGGACGAAACGGTCGTCTAGTGCTTCCAGGTTTTCGATGGTGGTCTAGCCTCAATTGACTTATGATTTCAACAGTGAAAATACTAAATTCTCCACAAAACCCCCTCTGAAATATAAAAAAGTTTTCATAATAATTGAACAGTTTTCTTATAATGCTTCAAATGTGAATATATATTGAATCCTTATTAATTTTTCTAGACAAAAAGATTGATTAAAAATATTGAAGTAACTTTCAGTTAATAGAGTAAAGCAGTCTACTTTAGGTCATTTTGATTATTTTCAATGGATGAATTTATTTTAAAACTAAAATATTAGACTGTTGTTATAAAAAGGAGACTTTCAATGTTAAATTATTAAATATCTTGGTATTTGTATACTCATACCATCCATTTATTATCGTCTGGGATTGCATGAATAAATAAATTTCAAAGATTTTTCGCTATTGATTATCAACCTGATAAAAATCTGAAACGAATTTTATTCATTCAAGACAATTTTATACACTCTACACGATAATTAATCTTTCAAAATCGGCTTATCTAATTCTTCTCAGCTTATCTTAAGAATGAAAAAAAGAGTTGATCTAAGCTAGATCACTATTGATATCCCAGAAGCATCGTACGGCTGTTTCGTCTCAGTATGGGACTCCTCAGCTATGCGCATCCACGGCTCAGTGGTCTAAAATTGGACGTTAGCGCGAAAAAAGTACCTGGAATCCAGTCATTAATCTCACACTTGCTATACTTTTAGAGAAATTTATTCAGCATCCACCCCTATCTACTATATCTGACCTAATTCATATTATTATACATATTACGTGATTTCTGATTGGTAATCTCATTGTTCTATCTCACCCTATGTCAACTATATTTATTCTGATCATTTATCTTACGATTTTATTTCACTTATAAACTGATTCAAGTTAATACTTCATATTAGTCATTCCAACATTAACGATTGGATTTAATTTTATATTGAAAACTGTTTCTCATTGAAGACTGAAAACTCAAAATTTTGATCGTTAGCGCATAGATTAAACACATTTATTGTTTATGAGTTAAATCATGAGTTGATGATATTTAAATTAAGATGTTGGCTCGCGTTTGAATATCTTATTTGCATTGTCATTTTAAACACTTTAATAGTTAGTTGAGTATTCGAATCTCAAGATATAGTTATCGAACGAATTGATAAGCATACAGAAATACGCATAAAAGTCACCACTTGATTCAATCCCACAATTATTTTGGTATTGTAAGTGACTTTCCCTGTACATTATTCATCAACCGCTTGGAAATTTACACGGCAGAAAAAAAGATGAATTTTACAATACCGTGTAATCTCATTTATAAATATTTTTAAATAATGAAGTTTGAAACTGGTTCGAAAATCGAGATGTGGAAGTACATAGCAGAAACAAGGAAGTCAGATGTTTAACTTTTTAAACAGACTAATGAAGGTCAACATTTAATAGTACAAAAGTACAATACCTGTCTTCTTTGACATTCTAATAAGTACGGTCAATATTTGAAAGCAGCAAGAACAGTAAACGTAGTACAATAATTTGAATTCCTTTGTTTCGTAGTGTCTCTTCAGTCACTTAAAATTTAAGAATAATAGTATCAGTTATTTGAGAGCAATGTCAATGTCGTGTCCTTTATATATATGAAGGAAAATCGCACTAATAAATTATGCAGCGAAATGATTATATTGAGGCAATCCACACAGGATGCAAGGGTGCCAAATAAGGTTGATCAAAATTAAGTGCGGAATATCAATAAAGGGTTAATTCAAACTTTTAATAATTGAATCTATACCCGTTGAACTAGCTGGTGACTAGCAGGACTCAGTAGCTTAGTGGAGAACACGTGGGAAGTTTGAGATGAAAACAACTGCAACTCGATGTGAACATCAACACTAGGATAAAGGTATGTCCAATTAACCAGTCACAGAAAGGACAAAATGCGCGTTCTGGATTTCAGAAGTAAGCACATTCCATCTATTTTACAAAAGATAGATCAATTTATCTAGAAACGTCCAAAAATTTACTCGGATTTATTGTAAGTTAAGTTTTACAATTGAAAGATGGGTAAATATATACTTTTAAAATAAGTCAATAGTTGATACAACATATCATGAGATATTAATGAATTATATTTGTTTATATAGTTACTAGAAAACGTTCATTCAAAGTGAGTCATCTCGGAAGTGAATGTAACCCGATTTAATGTGGACGATCGATGTGTGTAGCTGAAATAATTCCCGACGTTGTGTGTTGCTTGGATTACTTCTTTTCCGTTTCCCTTCAGGATTCCGAATTAGCGCTTGCCTCATGATGCAGTTTGATGATTTCTGTAATGTATGTCCTCTCCACTTCCATCGTCTTCTCATTTCCTCTCCAGCTGGAACTTGCTTTGTTCGCTCACACAGTAGGCTGTTGCTGATGGTATCCGGTCAACGGAAATTCAGTATCTTAAGTAGACAATTGTTTATAAATACTTGCACCTCTTAGATGATGGTTGTGATAGTTCTCCAATTTTCAGCTCCGTACAGTAGAAGTCTTGACGTTCGCATTGAAGATTCACACTTTGATATTGGTTGACAGTTCTTTTGAACCCCGTATGTTCTTCAGTTGTCGAAATGCTGTCCTTACTTTGCCAATCCTATCATTTACATCTGCATCGGATCTTCCTCGTTCATCGATTATGCTTTCTAGGTATGTGAAAGTTTCCACCTTTTCGAGAGTTTCTCCATCAATTGTTATTGAGTTGGTGTTCTTCGTGTTGTATTTGTTGATCTTCTTTTATCTCTTGTGTATGTTGAGGCATACTGATGCAGAGGCTTGTGCTTAAGTGGTTGTTTTGGCCTGCATTTGTTGATTTGTATGGAATGGAAGGGCCAGGTCATCTGAGAAGTCCAAATCGCCTAGTCGCATCCAACCTGTCCATTGTATTCCGTGCTTTCCCTCAGATGTCGAGGTCTTCATAATCCAATCGATCACCAGAAGAAAGAGGAATGGAGAGAGTAGACAGCCTTGTCTGACTCTGGTCCTTACTGGAAATGCATCTGTCAGCTGTCCTCCATGCACGACTTTGCACTGCAGTCCGTCTTATGAGTTCCGGATAATGTTGACAATCTTCTCAGGAACTCTATAGTGTCGAATAAGTTTCCATAATGTTCTCCCACCACATTGTCAAACGCCTTCTCTTAGTCAATAAGTTGATGTATAGTGACGCGTTCCACTCAATTGATTGTTTCACGATGATTTGTTGAATAGTTCATTTCAATTTTAATACCATTTAAAGCATAACTTAGATCTATTAGGATAGCAGCTTTTTTTTAATTCAACACTAACAATTTTGATTTGTAAAATAAATGAATTTCCAATACGCAGTATCACTGAATACTGAAATATAACGATATTATTAACATGATACAACTGAATTAATTGAGTAGGGTAGTGAATCAAGGTGTCTTAAACTAAATAGTGTTCCGTTAGTTTATTATGGCTTTCATCATGAGTTTATCACACGTAAAGAACCACTCAAAGCTGTGGCACATTAAACAACTGTTTCACCACAGTTTAAGACATTTTAGTACTGCTAAATTATGTACTACACAGAACTGAAACATATACCCTTAGGGCTAGGAGAGAATAAGGTACATAAAATGCATAAGAAATAAACACAAGACCAACATTGTTTTTGGAATGATAATATGGAAACTACATTGTTCCGAAATTATAGCGATTTTATGCTATCATCAAACTTACAGAAGATAGATTAGATAAAATGCATCAGTCACAAGTGTAAGACTAAGTAGTTCACTGTTAACTAAATTAAAAATTTAATATTAATAACAAGTACTACATCTTAGTACACCTGAAATTATTTCGCTGTTAGCAAAGGTAATCACATTTATATATAGTGTAGAACAAGATAAGTATTGTGAAGATAAAGCATCCTAAACGAAAGTTTTGTATCTAACCATTTGTTTCGAAAACTCAACTAATGATGGGACTTATTTGACCTCGTCGACAGTGTCATAAATGTTGTTTATGTTGACTAGTCACATATATAACTAGTTTGGAAGTGCTCATTCCATTTACCATTAATATCTAGCTAGGTCTATGTAACCTGAACGCCAGAAGAGTGTCTCCCTTGTGTATGACCTTAATAGGTATGTTGTACATATCACCTGAACTATATAAAAGGTCTATATTATTCTAATTACTTAGTTACATTAAAAGCATTATGAATTACAGCCTCTGATAATATGCGATTAAACGATATGAAGTTACGTAGAAGTTGCTTTATAAATCAATATAATTACTAAAAACTAATGATGCATGTAAACAAACATCACTTGAAAACAGAAAAATGTAATCCTTCCTCGAAATGAAATTAACAACTGTAACTTTTTTCATTTTTTTAAGCTGAGCTGTTATATTTTACAGTATATTCGAGAACTTTTGATTTCGGGTAAGTTTTTCACTTAGATGTGTGTGACAACGAAAATATAAACAACTTGTTCAAATTTCGTAAGTTAGGACATTAAAATACATAATGATATGAACATTTATTGATGAAAAAGATTAATTCGCTGGACTTTAATATCATGAAAAATTAGATGGATCACTAAGGTACATAACAATCTTGCTTTTAGACTAAAAAAAAACTAGTTCATTCGTAAACTAGACAGAACTCGGTATCAATATCAGAGTATTATGACAAAAGCATTATTCTTTAATTATGGACACGCTTTCTTCCAAAAGCTAGTCACATAAAACTGTACCCAGTGTAAAATGTAAACCCGTCCATTTAAGAATCATGGGATATATATTTATATATGCCGAATATATAGGTTTATAATTTAACAGTTGTATTTTGATAGTAGAATAAATTGAACTCAAAGCAGAAAAAAACAAGACAATAATAAAAACAACGATGACAATAAGCTAGTGTTACAATGACAAAATATAAGTTAAATTGTGGGCATATATATATATAAAGAGATGTGAAGTGCCTCACACAATTACGACATGGCAGGAGAAATAAACAAATACTTGTACACAGCAGCTTGTCTATAAGACTAAATGAAATAATCCGAAAAGAAAACGATACGTGTAACTATGAAATAGATCTAATCAGTTAATTGTTTCTATTTTTGCAATAGTCAAGTAAAAACTTTAATAGGAGGCGGATGACAGGAAGACAGCTTACAGTATAATAATACAACAGGCAATATCTGAGTAGTATTTCATGTCAGCATATCACAATACAGCTTCGTTTATATCAATATATGAGATTTTGAGCTTGTTATAGTATATTTAATATATATGATACGCCAGTGTGATGGTGTGAGCGTAGATAAGTCTATACAAACACACATAAGACGTTGATGACTTTTCTTTAGAATATCAGATCCAATACTTGGTTTTTAAACGTCTCCACAGGACAGTAAGGACATTTCATCCTACTGTTAAGGAAAGAAAATATTTTATAGTAAAAATAAAACTAATAACAGAAAACGTTTAGTATTGCTAGTAAGAATAACTACTTACAAAAATAAACTTCAGTAAAATTTCTAGATAACATATAGTACCATAGCGATAGTGAAAGCTACTAGTAGAAAGTTAAGATGTCAAATCTTAAGATTTGAATCCTGGCGATAATAACAAATTAAAATGTAGTTACATTTTGTGAAGGAGTATTAAAAATCCCGAAGTAGAATCTGTCTCAGAGTAACACAGCTACAACAAGAAAAACTTATATGTAATAACTGTAGTTAATTAGTTGAATGAAAAAGATGGTTAGTAGACTAAGGGATATTGAAGACAACTGAAAATGTTAGCTCGATTATATAGTGTTCATTGACATCAACTTGAAGGCTACATTGTTCAGAGCTTGGGATAACGTATGTTTTCTTGACAAATTTTAAAACATATGCCTGTATTTATCGACTCAGAGAGACAGTTTCTCGATCCAGCTAATATGTCGAAATTGAAAAAATATCAAGACATTTGATATATTGAATCAATTAGTATACTCGAACTCGGTTGATCAATAAACTCCTCACTCAGTTTTTTTTCACTCGAGTAGCTGACGGGGCTCGTGTATAACAACAAAAAGACTACACGACAGTATTTTAGAAGAATAAAAGGATCTTTAGATAAGTAGATAATCTCTCAAACGTTACAGATGAAGAGGTTGAACTTAAACAACACATTTAAAGCATGGACTTATAACTAGTTGTCACTAGTTCAATCCAAAAGTAACCAGGAGCTCTTGTATAATTTTGTTATTTCAAGTAGAGGGAGTGAGCGAGTGCGACGTTTTTAATTAGGCAATTGCTTTACGGTCGAAGAAACTTGGAAATGTTAGATTCCAAGAACTCACTTGGTAAATTTATTATTTTTGTAATTTTATTTTAAAACATTGAAAATTATTTTGCACCAATAGCGTTCATTTTCACTTTCATGTCGTATTTCCCACCTGGGAAAATCTTAAACGCTATTGGTTCGTTGTATCTTTTAGTATGCTATTTTGTAACGCTTTCCAAGGACAATTTTATGCGGTATATATACGTTTGATTTGTACCCGTTTTGGTTGCTTGTGCTTCTGGCTGCTTGCGGAATAAATTTTACCACTTTGGACTTGGACTTCTCACTCTATTTAGCGGGGCTGGGACGCATCAGAATAGTTAGCTTATTGGTCAATGGTCGCAGAGTCTTTGTACCGTTCTCAGATCAGGGAACTCGTAAACGCTTCAAACATAAAAGAAACTATACAAAACTTGACAACCAGAAGAGTGCTTGAGAAAAGTGGTTAGTGTGAGAAAGCTGCATTCAAATGTATTTCATAGCCTGATAAATAATGAGAATCAGTAAAATAGACCGACCGTTTCATTCCTTAAGCTTTAGACAAACATGTAATCTACGAATCTAATAACATAATTATGCGGTAACGAAAATAGAATTACTTGAAACAGTCACTTCTTAGCACACTTGCAACAGAAAGCTATAGCACACTCGTCAATCACTAACTTTACATTGAGACTGTATCCGATAACATCTGGATCCACTAGTCACTGAGATTTTCATAACTCCATTTAGAGATTGATGGTACATCGACCTAGATTACTGTAACACAGTTCTTCATTAAACAGAATTTCTAAACTGGGATTTTTTCTGCCCTTTTAGTAAACCAGACTAAAGCGTGGCACCAGTCCACGGACTCATCGACTGTTGGTTTTAAACATATTGGCTGATGCAGACTACCTTACTGGGGTCTGTGTGGTAAATCTAATCAGCGGTTGGCGACATTGTTGGACATCGCTCAGGATTAGTCACAGTGACACATATGTATTCAATCTTTATTTTCTAGATCTTGAGTTCCCGTAATCCTTCATATGTACTTATTCATTCCTTCCTTTCGAACCGCACTTTCAAGGCTTAGTTTTTCTCATTGCTACAGTAATATTCCAACTCATTTGCTGTTTATTTTATAAATTATACTTTGCCATGTTAATGTGGTAAAGTAACTTGAGATAACTATATAGGCGTGTTTAGCTCTATGTTGATTATGACTGGTCGACATTTTGCTTCACTTTGAGATTGAGTGGACAATGCTCTATATGGAAGGCTTTACGCAGAAACATATAAAAAAGTTTCTCAACTGCTGGAATTAACTTATTCAAATAAATTCATTAACTTCATAACAGTAAACATTATGGAAAAAACTTACGTCATTTTTGCTTAAATAGCTCTTATATCAAGTATAAATAGCATTAATTTGTCAGTGAATTATTGAATAAAAATTATTTTTATTTATTTATTTAAACAGATAAATATTGGTACAAAAAAGCACCAGATAAATATGCGCCTCACAAATCTCATTTGATTTGTGTGAGGGCTGTGATACTGTCCAGGTGCCCAGATTGAAGCAGGTGGTTTTCTTAGAGGACCACACCCCGAGCCTTTAACCTAAAGGTCTAGTCCACAAGACAGTGGAGCATCTTAAGGAGATGCAGTCCCATGGTAGCCGGTGACTAACGATTGGTTCATACGCCATTTGTTCCTTCAGGATACTGGAGCCCATGTGCACCATTGGTTTGGAATCAGGGTCCCATAGGTGAACTTTCCGTGTCCACCAACCCGGTTACAGCGCCGGACATTCGCTTTTCGTCCTCTCACTTTCGTAAACAACAGTACTGCCACGAGAAGGCGGTGAGTAGGACTTCTCTGACAGAGACTATATATTCGCATGGTTATGTGAGAGCATTTGGAGAGGGAGAGCAGACTCTCCCCACTCTCGGCCGTACCAGGGCATTTGGGGGCTATGCTTGGATGGAAGTTCTACAAGCGTAGAATGGAACTAATTCAATCGAAACATTGTAACTCAAATTTTTCACGGACAGTCTAAAGTTACAGTAGAGCTAAAGGCTACTCAGTTATTAGTTGTACATAGAAATTTTGACTACATCCCACTGATATTTGTGATTATTAGCGAAACACGCCTGGGAGACCAATGTTTTTTTCTAGATTCAAATTTCTACTATTTGTTGTTTTCGTAAAGGTTGCCGATGAACTACAAAGGTTGAACCTTAAGGTGAGGACGTGATTTAGAGTTATGGTTGAATCTAAAAGACTAAATTTAATAGAAAAAAACTAGGGTTTGGGATTTTTAACGGCCAATCCAAATATTTTTTCATCTTTTAATTTTACCAAAATCCCATAATAATAGGATAAATTAGCTTTCTTAAATTACATTTTAAAGAAATTTGGTTAAATTTCTAAAACTATATGGTATAGATTTTAAAAAATGGGATGAAAATATCTAACCTTTTATCTCCACTAGCCAAAGAGTTGAATGCATCTCGTGATATAGCATGACCACACGTTAAGCGCACAGGGCCACCTCCACTAGCACCATCATTCGACTCCGAGATTACTTCTTTGATAACAGGACAGTGAAAGATATTATGGCGGTGGGCGCTGGGATCCAATTTAACAGCAATCTGTGACAAGCAAACATGGCATATTAACTTATTTAAACGGAGCATGGATATTTTAGAATATTCCCGATAATGCACAGTATATATTTTTAGACACTAGAATGGAAATTTATTTTGTTTTTTACATAAATCGTGAGATTTGGGAATCAGACAAAAACACAAACTTAAAATGACAAATAATGGTGTATCGTATAATGAGGGATTGACGAAAAACAAACATTTTGCAGATTTTATTAAATCACACTTCAGTAGACAGAGAGATCGACATTCAGTACTTAGTTTAAACTGTAACTAGCTGATAAAATCAGAAAACAAAATTACACACGTGTTACTTCTAAAAGAATAATTCTCATGACCTCGTTTATTTATTTGAACAACATACAAGTTTAGCACAACAAAGTAATCGAAATAAATGTGACAATAATAAATATAAAATTTTTATTGACCTATGACAAGAGGAAAACCCAGATTTCAGTGTTTATTACGAAAAAATAATGTAAATTTAATTATTGACAACCTAATACATGATACGACGAAAAACTAAAGAACAATCATTTACTACGTATCATAACGACCATAACAACTTGATTGCATCTCATTTAAACAGGCCTAATGTATTATTACTATTAATGGGTTTATCCAATATTGAATGTTCAGTACAATTTGGAATTCTCAACACGAAGTATTTTGACAAGTTTTTAGAGTATATTAGTAATATCAGTATATTAGAGTAAAGCCTGATGACGATCTAATTGAAAACAATCGTTCGCTTACATGTGTTGTTCTAATTTTCATAAGTTTTTTTCATAAAACAGGAAAGAGGGAAAAATCGATAACTGCACACATGAACTCAGTAAACAAACTAAGTGAAAGCAAATGAAATGGGTTTTTTTAATAATGCTATAGCTTGTGGCCATGTGCTCTATTAATATATAACGTAATGATACCGCCAATTAGAGAATAGTGATTTATCGACCGGATCAACGACGCGTAAACCCGTACCAGCAGTCTAAAGTCCTTATCGGTCTTTCTTCATGCTCAGCCCTACCTGTTAGAGTCCAAAACACCAATCTCAGCCTCTGAGATATGGATCATGTATTTCAAACATACTGGGTTTATATACAAACCAAACAAACCACATCACACCATAAGACAAGAAATAATATTTGCACAAGATCTAGCCAAAAGTGGTTGTGAATGTGGGAGACTGTAATTAATAGACTGGGCAAAACTCAAGAACGATAAATTTTATAAGTCTATGTGTCAAAATAAAGTTTATAATAAGAGGAACATGAATATGCATAGCTTAGCTACTTAGTAATTATACAACAAAAATATATGTATCGTATTGGTCCATAAATAGTTTTCAAAAGTTACCATTCATAATTCTCGTCGGGATATTACAAATAAGAATATGTACAACTACTATTTAGAAACATGCTTAATAATACAAGTTATTGACTAGGCCACCACTTACAACCTGTTCGTCGCATAGTATATTTGCTAGATAAGGTACTGTAAAGTTTTTATACCGTTGCTGGAGTGCATAAATCTCAATGTACTGGCGTTTCGTTCTATCAGAAGATTTACAAGGAGAATGATGTGAATAAAGTGGACGGTTAATATCTGATAACACTTGCCACGAGTTCGCAGGATTTTAAATTTCTAACTACAGCCGTATTCATAATGACCTCAAAAGACTCACCACACACCCTGCCAACTGCATTCAACAGTCTCCTTAATACAATAAGATGTTTTCTCACAAGCCCGGGAGAGAATAAAAGGAGACAGTAAAGAACAATAGGTAATATACAAGAATTAACAAATAATAAAAGTAAGTATCGAGTAATGTCAAAACCATGTAACCTCTTTATATAATAAGTCAGACGGAAGTCTTTTTCGATATCAATAAAACATGAGAAGATCAAGAGACTTACTTACTCACCTACGCCAGTACCCCTAGTGCAGCAAAGTCTGAAGACTAAGATTCTTCAAGAGAAATCAGAAAGAAAACTTACACCAAGATAAATAACCTTTGACACTCTTCTCATTACAGAATCTTCAGTAGTACAAACGTGATGGGATTCCAACAGGGTGCTCAAGTGTTGCTGATAACACAGTACAGTTATCTCAAAATTGGTAGTGATTGTAGTGTACGTGAAGCCTGATATCACTGACCTTGAGATCAAACAAAAAGCTTTTCTGCAAAACAGGTTGGTATATTAGTTGAAGCGGTCAACAACTTGATTCGATTACTATTACACTGCGTAAACATGTTTAGCATCAGTGTTGGCTACAGTAAGAACGTAGCGACTAGATTGAGGCTAGAACAAAAGTCAATTACGGCACTGACTTTATTTATTGTGTAGAAGTATATAAACAATCTGTTTAGCCCAAAGAGTGACAGTTCGAAAGGTCAACTTGATAATATACTGATTCTAGATGTTTTACCATGTTAGGTTTAAAATCATTACAGAATCACGTTACATAATCACTATGTGCAAACTCACTGGTAACATGTCACCATCCAATGAACTGTATTTACTGAGGCAAGCAATGGCACGTTGTAACGAATGAAGCCGAGTAAGTACACGACATCCGGAGGAAAATGCAGTGAGTAGTGGATCAGTGTCTGATAAATTTAAATGATAACAGCAAGAGGCCTTAAACAAATTTGCTGCTTCTGTCAAAGCATTGCTACCATCTGTCTTGTGTTTAGTTGTTGCAGGCGACATTGAGAGAGAATATTGACCATCCATCATACAGACATCTTCAGAAGTCTTGGTTACTTGAGAGCTTTCGGAAGACATTTTTGTGGGGCTGGTTGGCAAGGCCAAGTCAGCATACGGAGTATCCTCTAGGCTACGTCCAATAAAAACAAGACTCCCCATAAGATGTTCAAAATCTGCAAATAAGTAATTCACAAATGGTTTTACGAATATTTTGGCCTTATAATCACCAACAGAATAAATTACTAAGAAGAGTACTTCAAAAACTGTTTGAAATAGAAGCCGAAGAAAGTACAAACAAGGTTTGACACAACGATCTGAATACTTCAAATATGTTAGCATAAATATGTTGAATATCAAACAAATCCCATACTTCTATCCAGTTATCGACGGTTAGCTACACCATTCATAGACTTACACAAATATACACGAGAATTGCTTTTACAGCTGACAATAATAATAATAAATCCAAAATAAACTAAAGATCAGACGATATTTAAGTTGGACTAAATTTATACATCCAACTTCATAAGACTTGAGTCGGCAACTAATAGATAATGAAAAGTTTAGGCAAAGCACACAATAGATCAATTTCTTCAAACATCCGTAGACGATAACCGTTAACAACTAACCAGATAAAATGGGAGTAAAATGTCACCTATGATCTCCGCACTTTGTTAAATTAGTCAATGTAAGCTAATTTTTGTTGTTGAATATTAAAAATTACTAGGTTTGTTCTTTGTGAACACAATTGGAGATGGTGGTGCCTCAAAAATATCATCTAATTAAAGTTTATGAGTTTACGATACAAGATGAAGAATAAGTAGAATGGTCAACGCAATTATGAATAAGCTATATTGCTCAACCTATAATAATTGTGACTTCTACAAGATAATTAAAGTAATCCACTTTGTCACAGAATGAAAATAGGAACTCAGCGAATTTTCGACGAAATCATTAAATTAAGTTGTACACTCGTATTTATAGTTGTTTGATAATTCCGACCCATAAATTATTTTCACCCTCGTAGTCCTCTTAAACCCCCTGATTGTTAAGTAACCACTTTTGATATATGAGACCTCCAATCACTTTATGATGTAATCTTTTCTACTTTTTTATAGACCAATATAATTACCGAACAATTATAAATACGAAGTTACAGCTTAAGCGATTGATTACGTCAAATGTTTTGTTCGTTGAATTCTCTTTATTTTTATTTAATGACATCAACAAAATGTTTACCAACTGACTAAGGTTAGTATATGGTACTAACAAGCCTACACAATATTTTGTTATCAGATAACGCCATCAATACTTACTTACTTACGCCTGTTACCCCTTGTGGAGGAGCATAGGCCGCTCACCAGCATTCTCCATCCAACTCTGTCCTGAGCCTTCCTTTCCAGTTCTTTCCAGTTGCTATTCATCCTTTTCATATCGGCTTCTATTTCTCGGCGTAGTGTGTTTTTTGGCCTTCCTCTTTTCCGCTTCCCTTCCGGATCCCAAGTTAGGGATTGAGTCGTGATGCACATTGGTGATTTCCTCAATGTATGTCCGATCCACTTCCAACGTCTTTTCCTAATTTCCTCTTCAGCTGGAAGCTGGTTTGTCCTCTCCCATAAAACGCTGTTGCTGATAGTATCCGGCCAGTGGATGTTGAGTATTTTGCGTAGACAACTGTTTATAAATACTTGTACCTTCCTGATGATGGCCGTAGTAGTTCTCCACGTTTCAGCTCCATACAGTAGGACTGTCTTGACGTTCGTATTAAAGATTCTGACCTTGAAATTGGTTGAGAGTTATTTTGAGTTCCATATGTTCTTCAATTGTAGAAATGCTGCCCTTGCTTTTCCAATCCTCGCCTTTACATCTGCATCCGATCCCCCTTGTTTATCAACGATGCTCCCCAGGTACTTGAATGTTTCCACCTCTTCCAGAGTTTCGCCATCAAGTGTGATTGGGTTGGTGTTCTCCGTGTTGCATTTGAGAATCTTGCTTTTTCCTTTGTGAATGTGGAGGCCTATTGATGCGGAGGCTGCTGCTACATTTGCGGTCTTCATCTGCATTTGTTCGTGTGTATGAGAGAGGAGGGCTAGGTCATCTGCGAAGTCCAAATCATCTAATTGATTCTGAGAAGTCCATTGTATTCCGTATTTCCCTTCAGATGTCGAATTCTTCATAATCCAGTCAATCACTAGAAGGAAGAGGAATGGGGTGAGTAGACAGCCTTGTCTGACTCCGGTCCTTACTGGAAATGCATCTGTCAGCTGTCCTCCATGCACCACTTTGCACTGTAGGCCATCGTATGAGTTTTGGATAATGTTGACAATCTTTTCAGGAACTCCATAGTGTCGAAGAAGTTTCCACAATGTTCTCCTATCCACGCTGTCAAACGCCTTCTCATAGTCAATAAAGTTGACGTATAGTGATGAGTTCCACTCAACTGATTGTTCAACGATGATCCGTAGTGTCGCAATCTGGTCTGTGCACGACCGATCCTTACGGAATCCAGCCTGATGATCCCTAAGTTCGGCGTCTACTGCGTCTTTCATCCGATTCAGCAGCACTCTGTTGAAAACTTTTCCTGGTACTGATAACAAGCTGATACCTCTGTAATTCTCACATTGGCTCAGATCTCCTTTCTTTGGTATCTTGATGAGATATCCTTCTTTCCAGTCCGTTGGCACTTGTTCCTCTTCCCAAATCTTCTTGAATAGAAGGTGAAGCATATTTGCAGTTATTTCAATGTCTGACTTCAGTGCTTCAGCTGGTATATTGTCAGGTCCTGCCGCCTTCCCACTTTTGATTTGTCTGATGGCCATCTTGACTTCTTCGATCGTTGGTGGAGTGACATCTATTGGAAGGTCTGTGTGGGCTGCTTCGATGTTCGGTGGATTCAATGGGGCTGGTCTATTCAGCAGTTCCTCGAAGTATTCTGCCCATCTTTTCCTCTGCTCTTGAATCTCAGTGATTGTCTTTCCTTCTTTTCCTTGACTGGTCTCTCCGGTTTGCTATATCTCCCTGCCAATTTCTTCGTTGTATCATATAGTTGTTTCATATTTCCTTCCCTTGCAGCTTTTTCCGCCGCCGTTGCTAGTTCTCCCATGTAGTTCTGCTTGTCGGCTTTAATGCTTTTCTTCACTTCCCTGTTTGCTTCTGCGTAGTCTGCTTGTGCTTTGATTTTCTCTGCTCGTGTTCGGCTGTTGTTAATTGCTAGTTTCTTGTTCTTCCTTTCTTGAAGTTTGTCCAGGGTTCCCATAGAGATCCATTCCTTGTGATGATGCTTCTTAGGACCAAGAACCTCCTGACACGTTGAAGTTAGTGCTTCTTTGATCCCTTTCCAGTTGTCCTCCAAAGTAGTTTCTTGTTCTTTCAGTAGATCCTGTAGAGCTTGGAACCTGTTGTTGAGAATTATATTGAATTCATGGAGCTTGTCAGTATCTCGAAGGAAGGCTGTATTAAACCTTTGTAGTGCTGTTTGTCCAGTTGTCCAGTCTTTCTTAAGCTTCAGTCTCATCTTGGCCACAACCAGGTGGTGATCTGAAGCTATGTCAGCTCCTCTCCGGGTTCTCACATCTTCCATTGATCTTCGGAATTTTTTGTTGATACAGATGTGATCTATCTGGTTCTCTGTGGTGTGGTCCGGTGAAATCCATGTAGCTTTGTGTATGCGTTTGTGTGGGAATATTGTGCCGCCTATAACCAATTTGTTGAAAGCACATAGGTTTGCAAGTCTCTCCCCATTTTCATTTCTTTCTCCTAGTCCATGTCGTCCAATTATATCTTCATATCCTGTGTTGTCCACTCCAACTTTAGCATTTAGATCTCCCATAAGGATGGTGAGGTCCTTTCGTGAGCACTTTGCTATAATTGATTGCAGCCTTTCATAGAACTGATCTTTATCATCGTCGTTGCTATCATTGGTGGGTGCATAACATTGGATAACGTTCATTGTGATCCCCTCCTTCTTTGTTCTGAATGATGCTTTGATTATCCTGGGTCCATGAGATTCCCATCCCACAAGTGCATTTTGTGCTTCTTTGGACAGCATTAGAGCAACTCCCTGAGTGTGTGGAGCATTTTCCCCTTCGTGACCGGAGTACAGCAGCATCTCTCCTGTACCTAGCCTTTGTTGTCCAGTTTGTGTCCAATGGGTTTCGCTGATTCCGAGTACTGCCAATTTGTATCTCCTCATTTCCATTGCTATTTGGCTGGTCTTTCCTGTCTCCCACATTGTCCGGACGTTCCATGTACCTATAAAGAGTGTTGCTCTGGTTGTTAGAAGGTGCATCGGTCTCGTGACTTCCGAAGAACTTCGGCTTTCATCATGAGACGTCATTATTCCTTCAACTCCCAGGGCAGAGTTTAAATGGTTTGGATTATTTTTTCTGGTTAGCGTTTTTTTAGCGAGTTAGCTTTTCTACGGGATGGGGTCGCTAACCCCATGCCCAACCCTCCTCCTTTACCCGGGCTTGGGACCGGCAGTAACTCTAGAAGAGCTACAGGCGGAGTTTTTAAGGTACATACAAGCACGAAGATCATTAGTTTATATACTCCACTTGACATGATTGAACATAATATGATGAGCATTTTCTCAGATGTGATCATCATAACGTATCTTAGAGCAGACAGTTGATTGTCTTCCTTTCAGATCATCTACCCAATTTAAAAACTTGGCTTTATCTACAAATCTGAATTGAAATTTCTAATGAGACGCTCTATGGATGGAACTGTAGCCTTGAATTATATATTGCATAGCCCTAACCACTTCGGTTATGAGACCAAACATATCCCCTGTAACTGGCGAGTATAGATAGTATTAACAGAACAAGAGTAACTACATTAGTATGTGCAGACGACTAGCGATGTTTAACCGTTCGTTAAGTGGGGATTTAGAATTCGCTAAGGATAGTTAATGATTTATTCACTTGAAAGATAATAACCCGAACAAATTCCACTACTTGACTGATAAGTTAATAATAGCTGAACGTTAGCGTTGATTTAACACATCATGAAGATTCTCGCAGTAGTTCGTCTACGAGACCTCTGATAATTAGTGGTACGCTGTTGTAGTACTTCAGGATAATCCCATTTATATTTTTATCGGTGTCTTAAGTGAATCTAATACAATTGATATCTTAAAGTTAAAATAGTGAGTAAACGGTATGAATATCAAATAAATTACTAATACGACTGGGCAGTAAAATTTACTTTCTACTCTAATGATCGACTTGTTATTAAAAAGACAAATGATCAAGACAATAAGATAATCTGATGAAGTATGGGGAGATACATGATGTGATCGACAACAATTCCTATTTTTTATCTAAATAAATACTTCAATGAAATGAAACACTTATACAACAATAACAGACTTTCTAAATACCTGACGAGTAATCAGATGCAAAAGGAACCAGCTGGCGAGCACTTTGAATCACGGCAGCTGGATCCACAGGTTCTTTTTGTATTGTAGACAAAAAATCAAGTTTGGCTAGACAATATTCTAACTGCTTTGCTTTGTCTCCAAGTTCCTCTCGATTATTTGATAACCATCTATAAAATAAGACAATCAACTCGTCAATAATTTATGTTGAAAAATTTTTATACGATGCTTACATAGAATGTACATACGTATATCATGAATAAGAAGTAAAATATGTTCAAGTGTTTGAAATGTGTGTGGCTCGTCAGAATTCATGAAAAATGGATAAACAAAGTATCGTTAAACGAAGCAACACTTTGTTGTGTGAAACTAATTATACATTCAACATGTTGGTTAAATGGTTTCTGGAACAGTTATGTAGATTGACCTGTGATTGCATGTCAGGAGTAAAATGTGTCAAACGCCTGCAAAGTGTATAAGTTTAGCATTGGGTGGCAAAATCTCAACTTGGAAGGAGGGGGAAAAGCAGTCTTAACAAACCTTAACCACAAGAATACTTATTTACATACTTACGCCTGTTACTCCTCATGTAGAAGCATAGGCCGCCCCATCAGCACTCTCCATCCAACTCTGTCATGGGCAATCCTTTCTAGTTTTTTCCAGTTGCTATTCATCTTTTTCATGTCTTCTTCCAATTCTCGACGTAGTGTGTTGTTTGGCTTACTTTTTTTCCGTTTCCCTTCAGGATTCCGAATTAGCGCTTGCCTCATGATGCAGTTTGATGATTTCTGTAATGTATGTCCTCTCCACTTCCATCGTCTTCTCATTTCCTCTCCAGCTGGAACTTGCTTTGTTCGCTCACACAGTAGGCTGTTGCTGATGGTATCCGGTCAACGGAAATTCAGTATCTTAAGTAGACAATTGTTTATAAATACTTGCACCTCTTAGATGATGGTTGTGATAGTTCTCCAATTTTCAGCTCCGTACAGTAGAAGTCTTGACGTTCGCATTGAAGATTCACACTTTGATATTGGTTGACAGTTCTTTTGAACCCCGAATGTTCTTCAGTTGTCGGAATGCTGTCTTTACTTTGCTAATCCATAAGAATAGCATTCAAACATTTACCAACCAAAGTAAATAGATCAAAAGGTTTAATTCGAAAATTACCGAATCAATGTTTATTTATAAAATAAAGTGAATACAATACTTTTGTTTACTGGTATACTAACTTTTGCAGATAAAGATAGATTACCAACTTTTTTATGATTAAACAAGAAAATAAAAGTTGTAATTTTTATTTGCATATCACGGCTTTGTAATGCCACTTTGTTTACTAACAGATTTCTAAATCACAAAAAATTACTTAGCCATAATCAATATACAGCATAAAACTTGACACAGCAGATAAATGGGAAAATGATTTAGAATATTGTTATAGTAATGAGAATAACTAAGCCTTGAAAGTGCGGTTCGAAAGGAAGGAAGGAATAAGTACATATGAAGGATTACGGGAACTCAAGATCTAGAAAATAAAGATTGAATACATATGTGTCACTGTGACTAATCCTGAGCGATGTCCAACAATGTCGCCAACCGCTGATTAGATTTACCACACAGACCCCAGTAAGGTAGTCTGCATCAGCCAATATGTTTAAAACCAACAGTCGATGAGTCCGTGGACTGCTGTCACGCTTTATTTTGGTCGCCTCTAAATTTTTCTCAAACCACTTCTGCACCAACTAACATCTTCCGTCATCCCCATCATTCTGCCAGTTTGTCAAGATGAGTTTTGAAACAGATATCAATTCAGTAGATGGCACCGAAATTCACTGGTGCTTCCTAACCTTTTGATTCAAGTCAATGACCAATATCACTGATGCACTTGCAGCAGTTTAGATATCATGTCAAACTTCACTTTGTCAGAATCATCTTCTCCATGATCCACTGATTGCTCAATTGATTCTCCCCTAAATGGAATCTTGACCTTTCATTTTAAATTGAGATCTAACGGGTACCCCTTTTGTGGCTTTTCTGTGCCCAGTAAGACGTAGGCAAACGCGTGCTCCCATTGGTAGAGCATGACCACAGTTTAAGCATGTGCTGCTCAAGCTGTGGCAGTCTGTTATTAAGCATCTCCAACAATGGGTGGTGGAGGCGTGCTCTGTATATGTCTACCGTTGTGTGGACATTGGGGACTGGCAAAATAAACAGTATCTCTTTTTCTACCCAACGTTTATGAGTGCTAGGAATAAGCGGTTATGTGAGGATAATTTCAAGAGATGACCACCATTATCTGCCTATTAATCTAGAAAACTAAAATATCCACGTTTTTTTAAATTTGTTTTCAATTTCGATGTTATATCAACACCGATAGGGTCATGAGAAATTTCCGTTGACTCTTCAGATACACGAAGAGCAAATGGGTTTGGTTTGTTATAGTAGTTAGATGACATGAGGTTTGTACCGTGGATTTAGTAATACGACGATTAGCAAGATCGAGAATAATAGTTTTCTAGCATCGCGAAAAAAGATGAAGAAACTGTACTGTTATCGTTGGCCAGTAACCTTTATTGATGAGGCAAAGTTGTCTCAGTATTGAGGTGAACAAAAAACAGACGTTTATAAAATACTGATACATCTTTGAATACAACCATAAGTTGATAGACATCTCATGAGAACTAAAGCTGACAATATTGTCTACAATTTACGGCTAGATCTTCAATTTTGAAAGCATGTCAATTACATTTTAAGAAGTGAGGAAGTGTATTTTCACCATATTCATTTCTTAAAAGGCATTAATGTAGCTAAGTATAACATATGACTGGAAAGTTATATGCTAGTAAATGGATCTTTGAAATGCTGAGTAACATTATTTTGGTTTTGCAAAAGAGTCTGGTGCTTTGTTCAGATTCAACTTATAGTAAGGTTCCCGTATTCGAAAATCCAAATTAAATGAACAGCAAATATAAAATGGAGATAAAGTAAATGACTCCATATATGAAAATGATCACAAAAGTCACTATTACTTTCTCGCTGGATCTAGCTCTCCTCGTTGTGTAGATGAAACCAGATCGCTTAGCTCCTTAAACTTTTCTAATCCTATATCTTCCTGAGTAAAACCAAAATTCTGTAACATTTAAAATAAATTAAAGTGAAAATATTAGTTTGTTAAGTAAAGAGCAAAACTGGAGTCATAAAATTGTTTATTTTCAAACAGTAATGTGGTAATGTAAAATCCGTAACAGTGAATCAACTGTGGCAACATATTACAACAACATCATAAGGCAAAAATTACTTGGACTTAAAAGGTACAATCAAGAGAAGATCCATATCCATACATTACTCTTGTGTTTCCTCATTTGCAGATACATCTTTTGCCTTTTACTAGAGATTTCCACGAAGAGGCACAGTACAATGAACACAATCAGGGGAAAATCCATATGAAAATAGTGACTATATTGAGCCATGTGATTGATTCCTTTCCAACACTTGACTATTGAACATTGACGGCCTGTTTAATCATCTGGACTACCTGTTCCTGTCATCTAGATATTTCAACAAGTTATCTAATTTCGTTTGTTTTAATACATCATTATGCCTATTAATCGTACAACCTATTCAGGTGCGTTTCTGAAAAGTGTAAGACCTTTCGCTGTAAAGGTTACAGAATGCCTAATCAGAGATATCGTGGTTGCTGGCAATTTGCAGCGAGAAGAATGTACATTATCCAGATGTCGATTGACTGGGCTGCTAAGTTCTAACTGGCGATCACTCAATATTTATCGTCAGGAAGAACGAAGAATTAAGAAACGGAAACTTGTTGAAATACTTTGTGCTGAGAATTCTATATTGTACCAAAAATATAATATTGAATAAAGCTAATAATAATAATAATTCTCATATCATCTGGAGTCTTAGACTACTGATTTTTAACAACCAGAGGACCAAAGTAAATCAGTATCAATTACCTTAAATAAATAAAACTAATCTGCTAGTGCTACATCGTGATCTATTAATGCCTAAGCCCCCAAATGCCCTGGTACGGCCGAGAATGGGGAAAGTCCACTCTCCCTCTCCAAATGCTCTCACATGGCCACGAGAATATATAGCCTCTGTCAGGGAAGTCCTACTCACTGCCTTCTCGTGGCAGTACTGTTGCTTACGAAAGTGAGAGGACGAAAAGCGAATGTCCGGCGCTGTAACCGGGTTGGTGGACACGGAAAGTTCACCTATGGGACCCTGATTCCAAACCAATGGTGCACATGGGCTCCAGTATCCTGAAGGAACAAATGGCGTATGAATCAATCGTTGATCACCGGCTACCATGGGACTGCATCTCCTTAAGATGCTCCACTGCCTTGTGGACTAGACCTTTAGGTCAAAGGCTCGGGGTGTGGTCCTCTAAGAAAACCACCTGCTTCGGTTTGGGCACCGGGGCAGTATCACAGCCTACACACAAATAAATGAAATGATGAATTCTATTGACGATACTATTCTCGCTCATACTAGAAGCAAGACAGTTTACACTATAATAATAATAATAATAATAATAATAATAATAATTATTATTATTATTATTATTATTACTATTATTTACTACGTCGCTTTTTCACTCCCTTTATTCCCAAATTGTGTATCCTTCCTTTCCAACTTATCCAGTAGCTCGCCCATTGTGGAAACTCTGTCCTATCTAAACGATCTCCAGTCACTGTCTGGTTGAAAGTGAATGCTTCCACCGATTACGAATACTGAAGCAGTCTTTCTGGAACCACGTACGCCGTTCAAGCTGGCTTCCTTCAACGTCCGCACACTAATGCAGATCGGACAACAGATGGGGATGGCTATGTCTTTAAAAAGTCTTAATGTTGGTGTTTGCTGTCTATCCGAGACCCGTATTCAAGACTCTAGTGAAGTACTACCTATTCGTTCTCCATCTGTCGCTTCGAAAAGCTTGTTTCACGTGCGCTTATCCGGAGACTCTGTGGCATCTTCGCCTGGTCTCACTGGCGTTGGTGTTGCACTAAGCGCTAGGGCTGAGGCAGCACTAATCGATTGGATCCCCATTAACAGTCGGTTATGTGCTGTTAGATTAGAAAGTTCCATCAAAGTGAGAAGAAATCTGCGTGAGAAACGGTGTCTTTTCGTCATCTCCGCCTATGCCCCGACAGATTGCAGCCCGGATGCAATCAAGGATGAGTTTTACCACCAGTTAACAGTTCCTCTCCAGAAAGCGCGTTCGACAGATATTGTAGTATTAGCCGGAGACTTGAATGCTCAGGTCGGGCGTTTAGGCACAGAAGAGAGTCGTTTAGGTGGCCGATGGGGACTTGTTGGTCGCAGGACAGATAACGGGGACCGTTTGCTGCAACTGTGCACAGACCACAACCTGTTTCTGGCTAGCACTAACTTCCGGCACAGTCATCGCCGGTGTGCCACCTGGCGTGCTCCCTTTGCATCCCAAGCCTGGACTCAGATTGATCACATCGCGATCAGCTACCGCTGGCGTGGTTGTGTACAAGACTGTCGCTCCTTTTGGAGTACCTATCTGGAGTCTGATCATGCCCTGGTCTGCGCCAATCTCACCTTACTTTTCAGTGGCCGAAGGATTGACCACCACCAACGGATCGATGTTAGTAAACTGGCTGCAACTTCTGTTGCAAGTAAGTATCGAGCGGAGCTAGCTTCTAGACTAGCTACCATCCCACCGAAAAGTATAGGTGAGCATTGGTTGCATCTTCACGACGCGAAACGTCCCGCTTACAAGCACTGGGTTTCTTCTGGCTCCTTACAACTGATGGAAGCCCGTCGGTCTACTCCGGGTGACCGTGAGTATGACCACAAACGAAGGCTGTTACGTAATGAAATCGGGCAAAGCTTGCGTAAGGACCGAGAACCCTGGTGGTCGGAGCGTGCTAATGAGATGGAAGCAACAGCTGCATCTGGTAACTGCCGGAAGCTCTTCCTACTCATCCGAGCCACTGGCAGCAAGAAGTCTGGTGTGAGTGAAACAATCTACCAGGATGACGGGATGCCAATCACTAACATCTATCGACGTCTTGGACGAAGGGCAGAATTTTTCGAAGGGCAGTTCAACTGGCCTGCTGCTCCGGCAACATCAACCAGTTTGTCCTGCCCCCCATGGCCGGCGACGACTGATCCACCAAACGAGGCGGAAGTCCGCAAGGAACTCCAACTCTTGAAGCGCTACAAATCACCTGGCCCAGATGACTTACCTCCGGCTCTTTTTAAAGATGGTGGCGACTTTCTGACTAAGGAATTGACTGTGTTGTTTGCATAGGTTTGGGAACAAGAAAGTGTTCCAACATCATGGAATGAGTCAATAGTCGTCCCTATCTTTAAAAAGGGTTCACGTTGTTCCTGTAACAACTATCGGGGGATAAGTCTACTTCCGATTGCGTCCAAACTATTGGCTTCTGTCATTCTTCGTAGGTTGTTTAAAACCCGAGAACGATTGACTCGCGAGGAGCAGGCTGGTTTTCGTTCTGGTCGAGGATGCATTGATCATATCTTCACCCTCCGCCAAATGTTAGAACACCGTCATACTTATCGCAGGCCAACAATCGTATTGTTTCTTGATATCAGGGCTGCCTTCGATTTGTTGGACAGGACTGTTCTCTGGGATTGTCTTCTGAAGAAGGGTGTGCCTGAGAAGTTCATTAACATCTTAAAGGCCCTGTATACGAACACCTCAGGCAGAGTGAGGGCATACAACCACCTTTCTCCCTTGTTCCATTCGAGCAGTGGGGTTAGACAGGGTTGCCCGATCTCACCATTCCTCTTCAACTTTGCCATCGATGGCATCCTGGGAACAGCTCTGATGGATATAAGTAATGGCGGTGTGGATCTGCTGCCTGGAGAAAGACTTCTCGACCTTGAGTATGCGGATGATATTGTCTTACTGTGCGATAATGCCCAAGGCATGCAATCCGCACTTAATCAGTTGGCAATCAGTGTCCGCAGGTACGGCATGTGCTTTGCACCCTCCAAGTGCAAAGTACTCCTACAAGACTGGCAGGATTCTAATCCTGTACTCACCCTGGATGGTGAGGAGATTGAAGTAGTTGAGAAGTTCGTGTATCTAGGTAGCTATATAAGTGCTGGTGGTGGCGTAAGTGATGAGATTGATGCACGTATAAGGAAAGCCAGTGCGGCTTATGCCAATCTGGGCCATCTTTGGCGCCTTCGTGATGTTAGTCTGGCTGTAAAAGGTCGGATCTACAACGCGTTGGTGAGAGCAGTTTTGCTCTATGCTTGTGAAACCTGGCCTCTCCGAGTTGAGGATGTTAGACGTCTCTCTGTGTTCGATCATCGTTGTCTCCGAAGGATTGCTGACATCCAGTGGCAACACCATGTTAGTAATGCAGAGGTTCGGCATCGTGTGTTTGGGCGCAGAAACGATAATTCAATTGGTGTCACCATCTTGAAACACCGACTTCGGTGGCTTGGACATGTTTTACGAATGTCGTCTCATAGACTTCCACGTCGTGCATTATTTGCCGACCCTGGGACTGGTTGAAAAAAGCGGAGAGGAGGTCAGTGTATGACATGGTGTCGTGGCATGAAAGAAAGCTGCAAAGGGCTAGCTTCTGTTGGTCCTTCACGACTCCCTGGCTGGGGTCCGAAAGATGGTGCAACACAGTGGCTAGAGACGTTATCAGATATGGCTCAGAATAGAAGCCAGTGGCGATCCTGCTGTAACCTTCTTTTACTTTCTACATAAAGAGTGGTTCTAACTTTCTTAACTGAAAGAGTCTTCTGGTTGTACATTTCAGTCCGCCTTATCTTTTCATCCCTTCTCTTCCTACTTTCATTATTTTGTGTGGCGCATATGTATCTGGTGCCCTTTTGTACCAATATATATGTGTTTAAATAAATAAATAAATAAATAAAATTAATGCCTAAGGGTATTTCGAATACTTCCCTCGAAACATGTATTTCGATTGAAGGTAAATAAAAATCTATGATACACATTACATGTTCCAGTTATCTCAGCGCAACTAGAAATGTTTATAAACCCCCCATGTCAATTATTCTAATTACGCCTGAACTCCTATAGGGTTACTGCTGATCTCAAGTCTGAGTAAAATGGGAGAATCGGGTGAGGGTTGACAACAGCACCTCGTAGAAAAAGAACCTCGTTATAATAACGCTAACCATGGAAAGCCAGTTAAACCTACTAGACTCTGGTCGGAGAGTCGAAGGGTCTTCATATACAAAAATCATGTCTCATGTTAAAACAGAGATTCTTCGAAAGCCACAGGGTTGTCACCCCTTCTCTGATCCAGGACAACTATAAACAGGGAATGGAATTCCCAAACGATGTGGAGGACCAGAAGGTCCTACAAATAGCCAGAAAGTGAGAAGGGACATGGTTCTGTTTAGGATAAGTAAAACGCATTGGACACAAGCTGAACATAAAACAAGATTTTCAAGAGAGCTGTTGTTGTATTCTGGTTGTGAAGGGGAAAACGGTTCACACACAAGGGGTTGCAATGGTGATAAGCAAAGAAGCGACAAAAACGGTTATAGGATGAAGTACGCACATCTCAAGGATCATTAAAGCACCTTTCGAAACAAAGAGGGAAAAAGTTACAATGAATGTCATCTAGGGCTATGGACATACGAATGATGATAACGAAGGTGATGGGGACCAGTTTTACAAATCTGCGTTTAATTTGCTTACGGTCCTTAGTGTTTTGGGCCTGATGGGATGAGTGTACGAGGGTCTATCAATCCAATATTTATATCTTCACACTCCAACAAATGTTAAGACGCTGACAAACTTATTGGGGGTCAACTATTGTTGTTTCTTGATATGAGGGCCGCCTTCAATTTGTTGGAAAAGATTGTTTTCTAAGAGTGTCTGCTGAAGAATGTTGTTTATCAACATCTTGAAAGCTGTATAAACAAACATCTTAGGTAGAGTGAGGGCATAGAACTATTACGTTCCATTTTACTATTTCAGTTGTGGAGTTAGCCAGGATTGCCTGATCTCATAATTCCTTCTCAACTTTGCCATAGATGACACTGTGGAAACAGCTCAGGTGGAAATACGTAGCGGTAGTGTGGGTTTGTCGTCTGGAGAAAATCTTTTAAATCTCGAATATGAGTATGGTATCCTCTTAATGTGCGATGATAGTAAAGCCATGTAATTTGCACCAAATCAGTTGATAATTAATATCCATGGGTACGAGATACACTTTGTATCCCCTAACTACAAATTACTTTTACAAAATAACAGGAGTCTATGTCTACGATTACTCTTGATGGTGAGCCGTTAGCGTGAGTGATGAGATCAACGTACGTATAGTAAAAACCAAAGAGATCTGAGCCATTTTTGGTGAAGTCGTGATATAAATCTCGCTGCAAAACGTCGGGCTTATGTGTCATTGAGAGCGTTTCTAGTCTATAATTGCAAAACTCTGCGTCTCTGAGTTGAGGATATTTGGCGACAAGCTGTGTTTGACCATCATTGTCTTGAAAGGCTGTTGATATCCACTGGAAACACTGTCAATAAAGCTGAGGTTCTGCATCGTATGTTCGGACGCAGTGACGGAAACTTAATCAGTATCGCTATCTTGAAGTATCGGCTTCAGTGGCTTAGGAGTGTCATGGAGATCATTCTAGTGACTCCTAAACAGTACATGATTTGCCGACGCTAGGACGGAGTGGAAAATAACTGTCGGCTTATCACATGGCGTCATGGTACGAATTAAATCTGTCAGTTCATCAAACCCCCCTGATCGGGGTTGCAGAGATTATGTAACTCAGCAGCTTTAAACGTCACCAGATAGATCAGAGCAGAAGACAATGATGACCCTGACGTACTTTTTCTACATTTTTCATAAAAATAAAAGGAATCCGTTATATGAAAGTTTCTTTCGGTTGGATTTTAACTGAAATGCTTTCCTTATTACATACTACTCCCATTCATTTGTTTTTATTCATTTGCCTGCTTTGACTGCACTCTTTTCTCTATCTCAAGAATTTCATTTTCTCACCTGTGTGGTGTCTTTTTATTTTGGTGCCCAGTTGTGCGTGTTTTAAATAAATAAATACATAAATAACCAATTTATCGGTATGTTATATAGCTACAACTTACATGCATCAGATCAATGGCCAGAGATTCATGGCCTTCACGAAGTAAGTGTTCGATGATGACCAACCGCAACAGATCATCTGGAGCTTTAGTTGACAGAGAATCTTTGTATAACGATGATGCCTTTAGGACAGGTTTTATTATAGATTTGGTTTTAGATTCTTTCTTCTCGTGATTTGTAAAATAGGTATTAAGATGAGAAAGTTCGTCGACAAAACTCTAGACAAATGTAATAACCGAAAATCCGAAAAGATGCTTACCTTGTCTACAAGTTTTCCAAATTTCGAAATGGGCAGGTGGATATCACGGTGAGCTTTTATGTAATCTGACAATTTCGACTTTACAGTCGATACAAATAAGCCAGTGTGTTGCTTGATATCCGTATCACTATCAGCTATATATAATGTGGAAAAATAGATAAGTGTTACTTACACAGTTTAAATGTGTCATTATGGAATGAAACATACACGTATAGTTCCAAAACGTTATGACATATAATCCGGAAATACAATACTGCACACGATCTCAGTTGCTACCCTGAAGTGGTGGTTGGGCTTGTTTATCGTGATGACTCGACCGAGCTATAATGCCTGGAACATATGTCCCTTTAGGTCCTATTATACTAGGCAGGTCGGTCGGAGAATGGCGAAACTAGAACAAGCAACTAAGAGTCTGAGGGCGAAGTCGTGATGCTGACTGCAGAGGGATGTGGAATTTATTTATTTATTTGAAAGCATAAATATTGGTACAAAGGGGCATCGAATACATATGCGCCACATAATCCACTTGATTTGTGCGTGGGCTGTGATACTGCCCGGGTGCCCAGACCGAAGCAGGAGTAGTAATAGCAAGGTGTTTCCCTCAAACAACCGGCATCTGCAGCGACGCTGCCTTTAGGTCACAGCTCACTTTACTCAACGGACTTGTCCCGGTAGTAGGACCTTTTGAAGTGCGGAGTTAACCCATGAAACACCGCAAAAAGGCCGTGTGTGACCGACTTTAAGCAGCTGTTCATTGGTCTCTGTGGTCACGCTCCCGGGTTGATAGGACTATCACTAATTCAGCATTTTAGTTAAATTTCACAAATATCCTTTAAATGTGTGGGTAACTAGAAAGTGACGACCGCCCTTATACCTCTACCAGCATGTGAGATCATCATGTTGACGATCGAATCCCTTCCTTACCTCCTGGTTATTCTCTCATCCCCACTACTTACCTTCCTCATATATATTTTTATAGCTACGAGCCACCAGTGTCAATGATTTGAATTCATGGAGTGTTATTCCTGGTCTCCTGAAACCACACTCTAAACTACGTGTTGGTGTTTTTAATGTTCGAAACTTGTGTCAGACGGGACAGTAAGATTTTTTACTATGACTAAAATCTTGCGCCATTGATGTATAGTGCGTCTACGAAAAGCGCACAGATTTCATACGCAGTCACTAATTTGACCTTAACTTGTAAGTATAAAGGACCGGAGCGATTTACCCTTAGAAGTCAGTCAGTCAGCAACGACGTAGGACCAGGCACATACATGCATCGATCCAAGTTGCCATACCTCGTTAGCACAAAAAGATGAACACCAGATTCATAGAAATATTTAATTTAGTGGTGGTAGTATATAAAGAAAGTTTGTATATAAGGATATAGTATAGGAAGAAAGTTATGAAGCAATTTTAATCTCAAGGTTTAAGGGAAGATAAAGAGTGTATACACCTACGCCATTGTGATCGATTCTGAGCCATGTCACCCAGAGTCTCCAACCATTTATTACGATAGTAACGCGGACACCAACCAGGTAGTCTGCATCTACCAACATGGTTCAGACTAGAAGTTAGTGACTTCAAGCACTGATGCCATGTTTTGGTTTGGCCGCCCCTAACTCTCTTCCAACCATCCCCTACACTAGTCAGCATTGCGCGTCGTGGTAATCGGTGTTCAGGCATACGTAACACGTGACCCAACCATCTCAGTCGATGAAGATTCATCACCTCATCAACTGATTTACTGTCATTCCCTAATACCCTGCGTCTAACCTCACTATTACTTTCCCGGTGATCCCAGAAGATGCGAGCAATATTTCTAAAACGTCAATGATCAAACACTAGTTACTTACGTGTTTGCTTTACTCCTAATGGCCATGTTTCACAGCCGTAAAGTAGAACACTGCGAACTGTTGCGCAGTATACTCGTCCCTTAATTGATAGACGGATATCTCGTCTTCGCCATAGATGACGTAGGTTGGCAAAAGCCAAACGAGCTTTTTGAATCCGTGCTGAGATTTCGTCACACACCAACCCATTAGGACTGATCTGACTCCCAAGATAAGTGCAGTTGTCCACGCGTTCGACTACTTCACTCCCTATCCTTAGTTCAGGTGTTGACGCAGGCCAGCCCTGGAGTAACAATTTACATTTGGATGGGGAGAAACGCATCCCAAACATCCTGGCATTTTTACTCAGTTCTAACAGAAGACTGTATTTTGTCAGTGTCTTCACCAAACAGGAATATGTCATCTGTGTATTCTAAGTTGATAAGCAATCCTCCTGGTAGGAAATCAATTCCTGAAAATTCAGTCGACGAGAGTGTTATTTCCAGCAACAGGTCTATAATGAAGTTAAACAAAAATGGGGATAGTGGACAACCTTGATGGACACCACTTGAGGTTGTAAAATCACATGACAGTTCGCCATAAGCTCTCACTCGACTGGTAGTGTTCGAGTAAAGAGCCTTCACAAGTTTATGTACTTCTCAGGTACACCTTTTAATGACAGACACTGCCACAGAACCTCTCGGTCTACAGAGTCAAATGCTGCTTTCAAGTCAAGAAAAACTATCATTGTCGGACGCCGATAAGCGTATCTGTGCTCTAAAACTTGACGAATGGTGAATATGTGGTCGATACAGCCACGACCAGGTCTGAAGCCAGCCTGAATTTCTCGTGTTTGCAGTTTACGAGTCTTAGTTAGGCTCCTGATAATTATTAAGGCTAGTATTTTAAATGCTATGTTAGTCAGACTAATCCCTCTATGGTTATCACAGGATGATTTTGGCCCCTTTTTATATATTGGGAGATTGTCTCACTTACACTTGACTTCATTAATTCCGGTTTCTTTTATTAGTCTGAAGAGCTGCCTGGTGTTGCCTACAGCCGCTGCCTTTTCCATCTCTTTTGCTTTCGTTGCCCACCACTGCTCACGATCGTTCCTTAGACTTTTAGTTAACCTAGATCTGATTTGTTTACGCTCTTCGTCGTGTTCAGAACCTGATGGGATGGGTTTACGCGAATCCATCAGTGAAATAGACTTAGAAGAAATCCACTGGTTTTCTGGGGCCCTATGGTTTAAATGACTAATAGATGTTACTGCTGTTTCCACAGCTGTTCGTATGTCTTTCCAAGCAGCATCCTCAACCATTTGAACCATTTGATTCGAAACTAAAAACAGTATATTGCCTGCCACACTAATAACTGTATGACGGATTCACAAACACGCGATAATTCGACGAGGGAAAAGCTCCGCTATCTAAGGATGGAACTTGCTTTGTGTAAATTCTGCTTTCATCTATTATTTTTTATCAATTTTCTTAGTTTCATGGAATAAGGTTCTGGTCATGCAAAACTAGATTAGCAGCCAAAGTGGAAATGCAGACAGAAAATACAAGAGATGCACTTGTGTTTCAGGCGGACAATAACTCGATCTATTACATCTTGTAAACATTGTAGAATATAACTTGCCATTTTGAAGTACAGACTGAAGAGAATCTACTTGTGATTCTAATAAACTAAATGTCCTCTTTCTGCATTCGTCAAAGTTTGCTAATTTTTCTTCTATCTTTGACAGTTCACCATCGATATTTTCCAACTTGGAGGAGCAATTATCAATCTTACTACACATTGAGAGGCGCTATATTCATTTTAAGCGCCGTACAACTTTCAAACTTTGTCGTATAAATTATCGAATAGTTGTAGATGGAACAGATGCTTTTATATGACTATCTTGAGTTTTTATTGGTAGAAAGCCACCTGATTCTTTAGGTTAGAACCGTTCTATGTGGAATTAAACCAATGTAAAAGAATTTTTGCAAATTATCGTCAAACCTTCGAATTTTGTTGGATCGGAACGGCAGGTGGTCGATCTCTCAGGGTCTGTTGCTGGGTTGCAGGAAAGATTCTGTTGCTATAGAGGAGTACAACACTCGTTTTAACCTTTCATGTACTTGAAATTTGGTGATTTATTTACTATTACAAGATAAAGTAATATTGAATGACAGTAACAAATCCAGAAAGAATGTATATGATGGATCGCTCCACAAATTATTTACTAAAGAAGTTGATTATAATGAAATTTAAGGTTCAGAAATCAAATTATCGAGCTCACTGAGCATCCTACTTCAATACCTTCAGTAATGCAGCAAATTTCATGCCCCCCCCTTGAAAATTACTAACAGAATGTGCCGACACTGTCTCTTTTACGCGCTAGACTCTATAATTTATAAAGTGTTGTCACAAGAAGGTTTGCATGCAGACGTATGTGTACTCTTCCATGTATTAACTAAATTCATTCCCTCAAAAGTGGAACTTAGTGTGGAAAGGTAAAATTTAAAAATGCCACAGACACTCAGGGCTTGGAAACGCTCTAGTTGTAATAATGTTAAGGATATAGAACCAGTCAAATCAGGATTCAAAGACGAATGGGTCGAAGATATATTTGGGAGCTGTTGATTTGCTGAGAAGCGCCTTATTAAGGCCGACTAGTAGTTGCAAGGGGTGCATAGCACAACGTACCCACAGGTTATCTGGTGCGGATGCACGACGGAGAGTCTTCAGCCACAGTGTGCATAGCAGAACTGACGAGGTCAATATCAATTTTGAAGACTGATATCGCTATTTATTTTGGGGATTTACTTACAGCTACAACTGGATCTGTAGTGAGAAGGAGTAATTTTAGCTATTTGATACGTCACACACATTTTTCTGTACTCAACGGATTGCAACTTGTCTGAGATTTTTCCACCGCTTCACAAGCCATTCTGTATGTTAAATATTTTCAGTTGTTTGGGTCTTAGACTACATAATGCTCTGGAGAGAAATTGCATGATATCATATGCTTTGTGGCCTGACGTATTTAAATGGGACGGTGTGCATATCGCAGGTAGCAATTTGTGAGTCCCTTTTAACTTTGAAAATGTGAACTTTAGTCGGTTAAGGAGTACAAGATAGATATACTACTTCAGTACTATATATGTCTGCTTTGGAGAGATTCACTCTGTGTTAACATCATTAATTGTTTGTTAATAATCATCATTTCAACTCCCCTAGGAATTGTACTGTTGAATGATGGTCTAATCTACTACTATTGCTACTGTCTTCGCTGCTATAATAATAGACTTAATTCCAAAATTGTAGAATTGTAATTGTGTGACTATCTAATCTATAAGATGTCACATGGAAGTTATATCTTAGTTTATTCTGACTCATCGTGACAATCAACAATATGATTTTCACCATTTCTGAAGAACACATTTGGGCTGGGAATAAAATAATATATTTGATGTGAATGGTGATAAGTTAAACTTAATGCCCACGTCTGAAGGGCAGACTTTCGCCAAAACGATTAATTGTTGTCACATTCACTACTGTTGATATTCTCCGCATTTTAGACGTCAAACACGAACTTTCTCAGCTACCTCGTGTCTAGCCTCGAGAATCGTGTGGTTAAAACCAACAACACCTCAGTACCTCATTTTCCAATCTGAGATCTCCACATTTTAGAATATGTATAAGCGCTCAGTCCACCCCAATACGTCAAATCGATTTCAATATTTCGTAGTCAGAATGCTAACTGTCTTCGCTTTGTCGTTATTTCAACTCCTCTGACAGAAATAAAAACATACATAACACCTACAGAATTTGTCTAGACTGTCTTCACTACTTGAATGTTTGGCGTTACAAATACTTTTAATAAACCTACAAGGCTTCGGACATGAATTTCCCAAGTAAAAATACCAACTAACAACCCCAGGTTCATTATTTTGACATTTATTTTTAGGCCGATTACCTGACTCCATTTGATGTTTTAATGGACGAGTAATAAAATCTAAGTCTTACGATTAATCCCGTTTATTATCCTCAAGCTATTACTTCGGGGCGACAACGTTAAAAATAGCCGACTACAAAATATATTGAAAAAGTTCATTTCAAATGTCCGTAAACTCAGACAAGCGTCAGGAAGTACAACAAGTAAACGATTTCTGAGCCTACTCGAAAGCCCAACTCATTACGAAAGTCAAAAGAACCAAAAATTGGTAATTTGAAGTGTAGAGTCTAGCTAAACAAACTTGGAATAATGAATACCTGTGTAAGTTGGTCTAGATACGCACTACCACCCAGTTGAAACTAAAACAAAATGATTGAGTAAGCGACGGTTTTAAACAAACATTACCGTCCAGTTATTCAACCAATAATTGTTCAATCAGTTGCTGTACCAAGTTCAATAAAGAAATGTTGTTCTTTTCTACATAGATCACGTACAGAATGTTTAAAAAGTAACATTTAATTACGCTACAACACGGAGTTCTTTCAGTTCAGGAAAGCCGCTTCAATTCATAATCAAAAATGCACAATTTTAGTCAATGTGAGCAAGACAGTAGCTAAATATAGACTAAAACAATATAAAGGGAAAATCCAGTGAAGACATGACAGATCTATAATGGCTAGTGACCACATCAGAAGCTGAACACGGCGTTCTCACTGCTGACCTGATGCGGATGCATGACCGAGCGCCTTCAACCAGGTGAGTCCATTAAAACTAATGCGGTCATCATCAAATTTTGAAGACTTGCAGTGCTATTGATTTTGGGGATTTATTTACCACTACAACATCCCGAAAATTGGGATATCTGACTTGCTATTCTTAAGGTGCCTGTAAAGGCGGCGAATAATCACTAAACCACCTTCTCCAAAATGCATTTGCTGGATAACCAACCTGTATCCAGCATCGGTTGTACATATCTGAGAGGTTATCCTCCTCGACTATATCGCCACATTCCCTCAGTAACAGCAAGCTATTTCGAGATAGCTAGTGTATCGTCAGCGTCTTGGATCACCGGGGTGAAGGGACAAATACTGAATATCTTGTGGACCTCAACCAAGTGAGTGACTAAGGTCGCGTAACCATCTAGTAAGATAACGCATTCAAATCAAAATTTGAGATTGATTATTTACCGTATAGCTCTCGAAACCCAGTCGGCTGGGTTCTGTAACGACCTTTTTAAACATCACTGTTCGGCCTAAGTGTATTGATGCAAGACAGCTAGGCGTTTGGATATACGGGCATTGTAAGGACTATTGGTATTCTTGCTGTAGTGAAATATGATCATGGTTCAGACCTAAATAAGGGTAGTCATAATAATAGTGACGCTAAGTGTACTTCAGTAGTAGATGACATAAAAATCTTGGTTTAGACGGAAAGCGAAAACCCGAAGTACAAGAGAAAAGGATAGAGCAAAGACAAGAAACTATCCAAGGTAGTGCCAACGTAGAATTTGTTTGTTTCAATGATTCCCATCGAAAAGGTTTATCTAGCCAATCAAGGAAAGAATTATCTGGACTCGGGCATCATCCGCATGGTAAGATTGATGAGGCAAATCACCCCAAAGGTCTCTATGAGTAACTATCATTTGTTATTGTATGTCTGGAACCCTCTAAGTTAGAACCGCCGGCCAAAGACGTACTGGTAGTTTATTCGGAAACTTGAGACGTATTTAGCATCAAAGGTCGTCGATGATAATCAACGTTTGTTATAGCTGATCTACTATTGTATGGGCAAGGTGAAAGCAACTATTAAGAGGTAATAGACCCTTCTGCTTGTTATAGGAAAGCTAGAGAACTTTTGGTAAGGTTTTTTGGACAGTCATATGTAATTGCCAGAGAAACATTAGAAATTTTATTTAAATCTGTCAACTTGAGCTATAATGGTGCTGAACAGTTGTCAAACTTAGCAACAGGAATGTAAAATTGTGCTACAATTTTGAAACAAATGAATTGTACTGCCAATCTAAACTTTTTAGTGACTTTAAAACAAATCGTGAAGCTCTGGCGTCAGCCAATGCAAATACAATGGGCAGACTTGGTGAATAAACTGACGGAAGTCGATGGAGAGCCAGCGTCTACCGAGCTCACTGAGTTTATAGAGTTTCGTTCCAGATTCGCTAGTAGTAGATTCAGACAGCTGACGAAAGATCTTAAAAAAAGGATACGGCACGAAAGTGAATTGCCATCAATACAAAGAAATCATTGGTTCGTATAAACACTACATCCGCCATAGCTTAAATTTGAGTGTAAGTGTTTGTAACCGATTGTACGTCTTGTTCTTAAGTTCACCTGGTATCTGTCCGACAGTGTATTGGATATGGACTCCGTATTATGTAGAATGCACTCGTTAGCATTAGAATTAACAACTGAAAATGGAACAGACTCACCTTCGTCCTGGAACTGTATACAATCATCATGTCGGTTGTGTAGTGAAACTACTGATTTTTGGAATTTGCATCATAAACTTTCAAACACTATCCTCCCCCACGAAATAATGTTGGGTCCTTAAGTCTCAATCTTATAGCAAATTCGACGTTCCCAATTTGCATGATCTTCTCAAATCTCACGCTTCGACTACTGTATGTGAGTATTTGGGGATACACACTGACATATAATTTGAGGTATTCCATCATGTGACTTTGACTTGCATGACAATTATGATACATATTCTTTTTGTTATTCATATTAGAATACACAGACAGGCAAGCGTTGATATATGTAATTAACACATGTGATTCATCTCGGCTTGATCCGAATGCAAGACATGCATCTACCTCATACTCATTAGAATAATATTGAACATGATTTGGATTCTCTGC